ATGATGTTGCATATACAATAGGCAAAATATCAGCATTTAATGCTGCTTGAAACTTAAACCTAAAAGCTATAATTACAATAAGTTGGAAAGCTAAGGCTAAAGTAATATATCAAAAGAAATTGCAAACTAATAGCTGACAATTCAAATATAGATAATATAAATTAATTAAATAGTAAAGCAGAAAGAAGACATTGATAACAAAAAAATAATGTAAACAGTGTTGGAACAAATATCGTTTGAAAGGTATATTTAGGTATAGATATAGGTATTATGTGGGAAAAATATTTAGTTATAAATATAGATATATAATTTTCAAAAATTATCTGAGTATAGATACAGCATAGAAGTATCCGAAAAATTTAGATATATTTTAGGTACTTCTAACAAAAAAAAAGAAAAAAGAGCAGAAAAAGAAAACAACAAGCTGCGTAAACAAATTTTATTTTATATGAAACTACTACTTATGTAATACAAAAATGTTTGAATAAAGAAAATTATAATTGTACATACGCGTCACCGCTATGGACAACCATGTATTTTATAAAATATCTTATTTTTTGTTTTTATTTGAATCTCTTTAAAGTTGTTTACTTGACCTTTATTCAAAATAAAAATTTAAAAGTAAAAAGGTATGATAAAGATATGATAAAAGTATGAATGAGTAAAAAAAACTTTGTTTTAGCTTAATTTCCGACTTATAATGTTAAAAATGTACAGACTAAGAAAACTTAGTTCAACTTTTCATTTCCAATGAAGACTACAAAACAATTATACTTACTAACACGACAAATTACGATTTTTCTTGCGTTTGTAATAGATTCTATAGAACTTGAATGACTTGAAATCAATCAGAGGAGTACACGTGACCAGTTTGCCACTCTTTTAAGGCTAATATTACCTTTGTGCGACAAAGTTTTCAAGCATGTTAATTGGCTGTAGCCCAAAAAGATCCGAGAACCTCTTTATCCTGCAGCCAATCAATAGGCTTGAAAAGCTTGTCGTAAAACGGATAAATATTAGCCTCTGTCGTACGACAAAGTTTTAAGTTCATTGATTGACTACACACACGCACATACACACACACACACACACACACACACACACAAATTCTATTTAACATGTAAAAATGCTGTTTAGCATGTTAATGTCAGAGGATTTTCCATTTATATACGACCTCAAAAAAATACTTTATAAAGTAAAGGAATTTCATATAACCATAAAGTGCTGAATTTTAAATTGCAACCCAGTAAAAAATTTTTCGTGTGTGAATATGTATAAATATCTATAAACATACGCGCATAAATATTCATAAACATATATAATTATATGTATATGAAGTATGTCCATACATATTCATATATCCTTTTTTCTTTTGTAAAATTACTTTTTAGTGTAATAGAAATAATAATAGTAATGTGAAAACATTAATAAGGTAATTAAAAAGGTAATTTTCACATTATTTGTTTTAGAAAAAATCAAGTTTAAAGAAATGTAAAAAAATTACTTACGTATTATATATAAAATTATATATAAAATTATGCATAATTATGTATAAGCAATTTTTTTTACATTTTTTCAACTTGTTTTTTTCTGTAACAAACAGTACAAAAATTATTCCTTTAATTATTATTTACATTTTTAAACATGTATGGATATATTTCATGTATAATTATATACGTTTATGAATATTTATGTGTTTATGTATGTTTATACATATTTATACATATTCATGCATGAAAAAAATTTTTACCGGAAATCCTCTTAATACTAAAAGAATCTCTTGCATGTACTGACATGCACGCGTAGCTGCAGTAGCACGTAAATGACAATCTGCTAACAAATAAGCATGCCGCTAGTATCTTGTACATCCTCTCCTTGATAAAAAGAAAAATCAGAGCGTAAGTCGAATATAATATAGGAGACTAACAGAAGTGTAAACGAAACTTCTAGAAGGCGAAAATTGAAACAATGAAATATAAAAGAAGCATTTGCGCTTCTTTTACATTTTAATGCTTCAATTTTTGCCTCCTAGAAGTTTCGTTTACGCTTCTGTTACTTTTCCATTACATCCAATTTACGATCCGATTTTTATTTTCATTGGGACTTATTTCAAAAGATTATTCGAGTTAGTGTAATAGAATTTTCTATAGAAAGAATTTATTTTTAATATCATAGCTTATGTGTCCTCATTTTTATAGATGAATACGTATTATAAATATATACGTCTGATTCATGTAAAATTTTTCTGCTTAAAGAAAATGCTAAGAGGAATTTTCCGCTTATCAGTAGAATATTTCTTTGGGTGTATAGGATATATATACAAGTATAGAAAGATTCGACAACTTCTCTTTCTTGCAGCCAATCAATAGGCTTGAAATGTTGTTATATGACAAATGTAACATTTGTCTTTTTCTATGAGATTCTTTATCATTCATTAAATACTAAAAACCAAAATTACCTAGGTGATAAAGTATTTGCACAACGTTGAGAATTAGAGAAAAACGATAATTTATATAACAATCAAATATTAAGTTTCTAATATTATATAATGACATAATAAATATAAATAAATACTTTGTATCTAAACCATATAAAAAATATCCAGATACAAGCACAATCTTATCTATAAGAATCTAGGTACTTAGGTACAACTAAAGTATCTATAAGATACTATATCAAATACTTTTACTTAGATACGTTCCAACATTGATGTTAAATAAAAATCGACTGAAATAAAACACATGAGTGAAAAACGTCATATTTAATCAAAATGATTCGATCGTATATAATAATATTTCTTGTAAATTTCCAGTTCAAGTAAAATAATATAACAAAATAATTACAAAAGATGTAATAATAGTAGCAGCACACAAATAGTTTTGAAAAGAATAATTAGAAGAAATAAAAAAAAACCATAGAAATATAGCTTATAAAAAATAGCTTATAAAAAAGGCTTAAAAAAAATTAACTGGTGGATTGCCCAATTTATGTTTGCATGAGCAGTACATTTGACGGCGTACAATTGACGCAGTCATTACACTTAGAAAAAATTGTTTGGTATTTGACTATAGCACACAATATTATATAATAAGATTAAGATGACAGCAAGTAGAAATCATTTTAGGAAAAATCATAAAAATATCATTTGATATACTTTTTTTATAATGATTTTGTGTAAATTCTTAACATTATAATTTTTAAGCGACTTTCTTGAAATGACTTCTACTTGATGTCATCTTGAAATCTTATTATTTTGTGATCTGTCTAGATAATCCTAGATAGCATACAATCTATTTATAAAACATTTACGAAACATTTGTAAAATTTATTTTTAATATTTTGTAAATATTTTTATGGTCTTAGATTGTGCACAGATTATAAATATTTATCATAAATATGAAATATTTATACTATTATTTTTACTTAGTCTTATGTCTTATTAAGTATATATGTAAATGCTATGAAAATATAAAAATATTTACAAAATATTAAAAATAAATTTTACAAATGTTTCGTAAATGTTTTATAAATATATTGTATGCTATCTAGGACATAAGACATTATAATCCAAGTAAAAAATATTAATTTATATTTGTTATAAATATTAGATATTGTTTTCGAATAAAGTTAAATAATACCTACTAAATATTTATCATAAATATTCTGTCTGAGATTACATAATTACGAAATAGGAACTGTATTTTATAATTATTACTGCTATAGTGTGTGTTAATAATAATAATTATACGTATTAAAAATTCTAGCAAAAAAAATATAGTTGGTAAAAATTATTATAAATTATAATTAAGTATGGCAATTATAATTACTTTTTTTTTTAGAGAGAGACAGAGAGAGAGAGTGTATGTACGTTCGAAGAAAGTTAACTTAATTTTGTTTCTCTAGAAAGAGTTTATAACTAATTAATTCGATAACGTCATTGCATAGAAAACATCCTCGAATCGGGAGAAGCAAACATTATCCGATGTCATCAAAACGGATGTAAGGAATGACGCTAGGTAACCAAGCTGAAAATTGTTGGTTCGAATTCGCGTTAATCTTCGCGTTTATCTTCGGTGACACCTTAGCAGTCACGTGTGCGCACAGGATGTCTGTGTCGCCACAAGCCTTTAGCTTAATCGTTAAAAAAGATGAGTCAAACAAAAATTAATTTATTCCGACAAACAGGAAACGTTCTCCAGGTTCCTCTTTCGCGTTTTCCAAGGAAGGGGGAGATTGGGAAAGAGCATCGTGGGATTGCTATAATAAACTAATCGCGCGTTTTCGTGAATATGTACAAATACATATATAAACTTTCTATTTCCCGTCACGAGACATTCGGAGAAGTGATGTAAAGAGGGCGAATTGTAAGTCCTACGATGTAATCATGTAATACACATAGTTTTGCGTGTTAAAAGACGAACGTAACTTCTGACTAGTTGCGTCACATCTCATCGGTGCACGTAAGAAGCAAATGAGATATACTTTTTTTTATCCTGCAGACATAATGTCACGAAATAAAAATTTTAACTGATTGATCCCTCTTTTTAAGTTGCGTCACAAGAAAATCACATAATGGCTTAATTAAGGTAAAAAGAAATGGGCTGTAATGAAGATTAATGTCGAATCTTGATGATTAAATAATCCTGTATATTAGAAAAGCACTGCTAATGTGTACAAAGTCGTTTACAAAATATTCAACTTACTTCCGCGTCCATCGACCGCAACTTGCAACATCTAAAAGAATTATTAACTATATGGGATAGTCGCTCAAAATTACTACTAATTCCGTATTTTTAACGCTTTCTCCAATTTCTCTCATTTCTCCGCTTGAAAACTTTTATTTACAAAGAAATATTTTTAATTATAATATTATTATAATTTTTCTTAATTTCTTCAATCTAAAAAAATCCTTTTCTGTCGCTATATATATAATCAATGCTCTAATTGAATTTCTTTTTCATAAATTAATATTTAAAAATCATAAGTATAAAACGACAACTCTATAATCTGTCTATAATGTAAATCTACATAATACAATTACTACATAATCTAATTACTATAAATTGAAATATAAATATATTGAGCAAAATAGTTTCAAAAAATACAAGTAGCAAGTTCACAATGTGCCTCTAAAAGACGTCTATCCTAAGATAAGAATAGTTAATTAAAGGCACTGACTGCAATCCATCCTGACCACATTCTGACACATCATTATCAAATTTGTAACTTAAAAATAAAATATTCTTAGTAGGTTTTTTTTCAAGATTTGGCACTTAATTCTTTCCCCACTTATTCCTAAGTAGAGATAAAACAATGTTTATGTAATAAGAAATTCTTTCTTTCACGTCTTGGAAAAATTTCACTTATACCTATCTAGAAATACAATCGCGCGACTTTTCAATTGCACAAGAGCGATCGATAGTAATAACGTAACATTCATACTTTGGGTATAACATGTCGTTTCTTAACGTTCTATACGTAATATCGTGGTTGGTTATTCGCTTACAAATCATTATGAGTCCAAATGCAATTACAAAAAGAAAGTTTCAAAGTCCGCGACATTGTATATGTCGTATGGAAATCTTAATCCACATGAGTTCACTCAATCGTGCGAAACCACGAGTCGATTACGCGTTTCATCGAACGTAAGTGATACGACATCGCCCGCAAAAATTACCGCTCAAATCTTCAATATTCACAATCCGGAAGTAATGCACACGAAAATTTCATTATGCATTTAAGTCCACAGACTATGAACGTTATATTCGTCTCCAAGTTGGCTTTCACTAATGAAATTGGCTGCTCGATCTCTTTCCATAAATTATCAAAATTATGCCCTTTAATGAAAAATTGACGAGAGGGTCGACGATCATTTAATTAAAGTGGAACGCATTTCAAAAAATATTTACATTCAGAAAATATATTCGCTCGGTAAGAACTACTTATTAGGTCTTAAGATTATCACAATATAGAGTGCTTTTCAATTGTAAAATCACTACACACTTTCATGAACACGCGACAATTCTAATTATCGTAATCATTGACACATATCTGTATTCAGCCCAAAAGCTACTAGTCAATTGGGTAAACTTGTATTTTTGTGACAATTACATGTTACTAATGGTCAAATCGGTTAATCACGATAGCTATAAATAAGATTGGAAGATATTGGAAGATAATGGCCTGCATTTTTGCTTCTCACACATTCAACAGATAGAAAAAGTTACTTTTAACTTAGTTCTATCCTTGCCTAAACCGTGTACAGCGATACATTTGTTCTAATTGAGTGCACAATGCTACATTTTATTCCTGTGTACATTTGTGTTAAAATATGTTAAGCAATTGGAAAGCACTCATATAGTAATTGAAATAATTACATAAAGTATATATACAAAAAAAATGCGCGTCGCAGTCGGATTTGTTATGTCAGTCGTAAAATACATAGTGATTTCATCAGTCTTTTCATCTTTACAAGGAATTCTATCGATCAATTTTTACATTCATTCATGTTGCCTACCGATCACCTGAACATACCTGTAGGCCCTTTTACAACCGGCCTGATGTATCAACAGATTCTCTTTAACAAGATTAAATTGTTTTTCGTTGAGCGTCAATTTGCTCTCTTTGATCGCATCTATAATGCAACCCTCCAAAGCATTTTCGTTCAAAGACTCATAGAAAAAAATTTCAACATCGATATTTTTGTTGAAAAAAGCGTTTTTAATTACGGCTTCATCGTGGAGCTGATTTCTTATTCGTATCTTGAGGTCAATTAAATCTTCGAAGTTGAAAATGGCCAGTATGGTCACGAAGCGATTCTTATACATATCTCGACGGGTCTCTAGAAAGTTTACAAAGTCCGTCAAATGATGTTTTTTCAAATTTTCCAGGATGATTAAATTCGGATATAAGAGAGGAAGATTGATGTCGTTCACGGCTTTCAATGGCGGAAAATACTGACGAATAGCATACTTTCGCGGGAAATTCCTTCTTATGATATCTACCGTGTATGATTTACCGACGCCTGTGTCACCGAAGAGGACTATCACTTTGAAGGAGGGTACATCACTCTGAAGATATTCACAGAATTTCTGCAAGTTGTTGTGACCATGAATCCGCTCCTTCAATTCAACAACAGCATTCGCAAAATCATTACTATGCTTGCGTGTCTCCTGATTTTCATACAAGTACACCGAGATAAAAGTCACGAGTATCGTAGATAATAATAGTAAAAACATAGAACGTTTAACATAACGTTTGCATAAGACAAAGTTCTTTTTCGACGCATGTTTAGCTTGAGGATCTTCGTATTTGTCACAGCTATCAGCAGTAGAAATGACAGAAGAATCAGACGGAACAATTGGATTGTCTAATATATCATCATCCTTCCATTTCTTTATAGGTGTTATATTGTCTTCGTTTACAGAATTTGTGCCCTGTCTCTTCTCAGGTTTTTGTTTCCCAAATTTTATTTTCAATTTTGGGCGCAAACTAGTCTTTTTTGAAAAAATAACAGATTTAATTGTACCAGCCTCTTCTTGATATTCCTCTGTTGATTGACTTGCTGATTCAAGTTCCATATGTTCCAACTGATCTTCCATTGATGTAGTGTTTCTTATGAACGATTCTTGATTACATTGCATGCTCCAGTTCAGGTTTTCAATACTGTGATTGTTGTGTGGGAAAACCCATGTACTCACACAGTTACTGTTAGCTTTCAATATGCTATCTTGGAACCTTACACTGCAAATAATATTTTATTAAATCCATTCGGCATTATATCTTTAAGTCATATTGATTACATGTGTCATGTTCAAATTGAGTGTCATGTTCAGCATTAATTTTATGAATTCGATATGTATTACTACAGCAATAATTGTGTACTATGGGAGAAATCCCAATGATTTTACCTTGACATATGTTTTCAAAATCATATCTCTAAAACCTGTAGCACACAATGCTTGTTTTCCTGCTGGATTAGAATCTTATCATCATATTAGTGATGCTGGCACTAACAGCATCGCAGCCAATATGGTGGCAAGATTCTAATTCAGCTAGTAATCCAGCAGGAAAACAAGCATGCGTATGCCATAGATTTAAGTGACTTCTAACAAATTTTAACCATCGCTCGTTATTTGTTAAAAAATTATTAATAAAATAAGTTTCATAAATATAAAATATTTACACATATATAAGCATATTTAGCTTAACATATGTATATACATATATATAATCATATCATTTATCTTTCTCGACTTTATCCCATATTTCTCTTTACTTACAAAATGTTAAAGACCCATTTATATTGTGAATTTTATTTCAACAATTAAGTCGAACATTTCTTGATAGGAAAAAAGCGTTGGATGGCTCTCACTTTGTATAAAATATTTTTATACCATTTTGACATAAAAGAAGAGTGTCATATAAATTATATAGCAGAATATATGAAGAACATATAATAAAATATATACCTTGTGTTTAAAAATTACCTTTAACTTATAAAAATTGTTTTGTTAATTTTTTAATGAATAACGAATAACAGCTTGTTGGAAGTTATTCAGAGTCATAACAATATATATCAAAGTCAAGGTCATAGGGGCTGATTCTTCCATGCACAATTATCAAATTAAAAAAGTACCTTAATTCTCTGTTACTCCCATATAGTTTGCAATTGTATGGTCTGATTAATGCATGCAAATTGTCGCTCGTGTTACATTTGAACGACTGCTTATTAGACGGCAACAATCCAGGTAAAGTATTTGATCTGACTCGTTCTGTCTCAGATGAACGGTAAACTTTCCAAATATTTTTTAAATCTTTATCCTTCTCCATAATATTTCGAAGAAGATCTAAGGTTTCCTACGAGAAAGATATATGATAAGATAAAAGATAACCTACAAATTACAATAGCACGTTTACATTTATCTGTATCCCTCGTTTTCGCCCCATAAATCGGAACATTCCGAGGGATCTTTAATTAAAGAATTTACCTGATTTTATTTTTACCTTTATAACTTGAGCAAAATTGAGCAAAAGTACTCGAGAATCAGGATATCAATCACACTTGGTTATCAACGTATAAATAAATCGGGACTCGGAATGATTGAGGAAACGCTTTTTCAACTCGAAACTCGAATTCGAAACGTAACTATCGCAAGTAACTGAATTAAGTATAAGCCGATCAGTTGACATATGGTTGTAGTCACAAAAACTCCAATCGTTCTAGATCACTTTATCCTTCGTCGATTGTCCTAGCCAGCATAGCCTATTTGTGTTCAAAACGTGGCGATACGCGACGCCAGCGATCTTAATCTAGTTCATCTACCACTTCGAGTTGTCATGAATGCAAAAATTATTGAAAGTTCCTCAATGGCCCAATCATCAAATTATACGTATCTCTTCTCACAGCCTTTAAATAGATTTTTTTGTAATGTGAAAATTAAAGTATAAACTTGGAAAGGTCACACGTGTCCATTTTTTTCAAGCTACACTATTTTGTACTATCTGCACTCGCGGACCGAACGGTGTAAACTGTAAAGCAAACACGTCCGAAGAGGAAAGAATAAGCTACAGGTCATCGGGGGTCACCGTCTCCCCGATGAAAATTTTTCTTAGAATTTTTCATATTTTTTCATATTTTTTCAAAATTTTTCAAAATTTTTCAAAATTTTTACATAAATTACAAAAATGTTTAGAATTTTAAAATAATTTTATAATTTTCTAGAAAATTTCTTAATTGTTTATATAAATAATTTCTTAATTTGTTTATACAAATTTAAACACTTCAGAATAAATGTCGAAGTCTGCATCTTTTCTAGAATTCTTATCAAATATGAACGCTGAAACAGATTTCTAAAGTTTTTTATTCTAAAATTTCTGATAAAATATTAAAAAGTATGAAAAAAAAATTTTAACATTGAGAATGATCCGATAAAGATCGAAACATCTGTTCGAATTTTGTTGTATATAATTTGATTGTTTATAAAAAGATTTTACAAAACATCCAGAATAGTTCGTAATCCTATTTAATTTAATTTATTAAACTATTGAATCGTTTTCTCTATTGAATTCTAAAAAAAAAG